TTAAAACTCTATAGATTTGTTTGTCTTGCTTTTGAATATTATTGGGAACACAACAATTTTGACATCCTCCCCCCAACATGGCTTATTTCTCATGAAATACTGTGGAAATGCTTTAGGCAACGGACATACTAAATGAAACTTTGACCTTTGAGGACGGCATGAAGTTTAAGGAACATAAAAGTATAAAGGAGCACGAAGATTACACAGACAAAGCCTTTGAAGAACTCTGTAGCCCAGAAGCAGGTACGCGTTCCTGGAACTCTATGGATAGACGGAGCCTGTTCATCAGCAATCCATCTTGAACTCTGTCTGCCCAGCTTCCCCCAATTCTTGTTGTGCATACCCCCAGACTCCGCCCTCTTCTCCTGCTCCACACTTTGAGGAGTTTCACTAGTTCTCTCTACAGCCTCAGCCTCTCCTAGGAGCTCCAACTTACCAATCTTTTTCTTTACCTGCTGGAAAAGCTCACAGCCTTATTTTCTATTGAAAATAGCACGTTTGTTTTTTTCTTTATAAGATTCATTTAAATCAAACTTTTACCTATAATGTGGATTGTGAATATTTTCCCCAGTTGGTCTTCAGATCTCACAGTAACAACAGCAAATTGTGTGTGTGTGTGTATGTGTGTGTTCACTCAGGAGTAAACTTTGTAACAGTTGTGCAGGGCGTTCAAAGAAAACTGTAAGATTTTAGTCAAGTAAAGACCACTTGACAAATGGAGAGAATTAGCAGTGCTTTAGATTGGAAATAGGCTTCCTCAATATATTTATGGCAATTTCAATAAAAATCACAATAGAATTTTTTTTTTCCTGATGTGAGAAGATCTTGGCAGAGGATTGCAGAGATTTGTAATTAGCCAAAATATTATGAGAAATAAGAGCAGTGAAGGAAAACTTACCTTTTCAAGTATCAAAATATATGTTATACTCATTCAAACAGTGTAATCGTGGCATCAGGGAGAAGTGAGAGTTTAGAAACAAATCTCAGTATGTCTCATACATAATATAGTGCATGCCAGCAACCCAAGTCAATGGAAAGACAAAGGATTATTCAAATAAATGCTTCTAGACCAACTTGTTAATAATTTAGGAAAAACTGTGAAACCAGACCCGATGTAGTATAATGAAATAAATTTTTAAAAAATCAGTGTATGTGTGGAAATGTTACATTTAGAAAATGAAGTAAAAGAAAATAGGTCATTTTTTATGATAAGGAAGAAGTAGCTATTCAAAATTCATAGGAAAAATCACAGAATAAATTAGTAATAGAGTTGACTTTAATAACAAAAAGCTTTGGTAAGAAGAAACGCCAGACCTTAGAATTATTATTTCAATCATTTATTTAGAGTACATAATCATAAATATCCACCATCATAAATAAAGTCATTATAACATTATTTAAACAGTGAAAACTTGCTAATGTCCTAAAAGTCCAGCAAAAAAGAATTAAATTATAACCTGTTTATGAGACAGACTACTATGTTTGCTTTAAAATGGTTGTATAGAAGAATATTTAATAACCCTAAAAAGATATGTAGCTGACTAGAAAAAAGCAAGTATGAGAGCAAATGTCACGTGGAGACCATTTTTGCCCCTGGTACTGGGGATTGAACCCAGGGCTGCTCTACCGCTGAGCTACACGCCAGTCCTTTTCATTTTTATGTTGAACCTCACTAAGTTGCTAAGGCTGGCCTTGAACTTGCAGTCCTCCTACCTCAGCCTCCTGAATTGCTATGATTACAGATGTACACCACCACACCCAGCCCAATGTTTGTTTTAAAGCAAAACAAAAATGTTATAAAATTTTAATAGCCTCTGGATGGGGAGATTATGGGTGGATTTTTATTTATTTTTTATATGATTTTTAGTTTTCTTATAGTGAAAACATGGTAATAAGAAAATATGAGTTATTTTTTAAATTAAAATGGAACAGATTGTGTTCTGTTGAAACTGATTAAAGAGTTTTCATACATGACTCAATGAATTTGTCCATTTGTGTCACTAATATTTTATTAGCACTTAATTAAATTGGCCAGTCAAACAGTAATAATAAAAGAGCCCAGAGAGGTATCTACTTGGGATGCTGAGGCAGGAGGGTCACAAGTTCAAGATCAATCTGGCAACTTAGACCCTGTCTCAAAATAAGAAATAAAAAGGGTGGGGCATGTTGCGCAGTGGTAGAGTACCCTTGGGTTCACTCCCCATTATCACACACCAATAATAATAGCAAAAACAATAAAAGCAAAAGAATATTTAAATATGTTTGTAATTTCAGTCTTATAAGTTCCAGTTCTGGTTTTGCACATACCAGCTGATAGATACTGGCTCAGCTACCTAAGAACTGTTAGGTGCAATTAGTCACACTTTGGTTGCTTTTGAACTAATGAATTATTTTGTTATACCCAGAGTTTTTCACTCTGAATGTTGCTGGCACAGAAAACAGGAGGCAGTGGGATACCAGAGTGCCTCAGACTCTGATACAAATGATGGCAGCTGCTGATGTCACCTCCACGTGCTCCACTGTGCCTGATGGTGAGTCTCTGGATCAGCACCAGTTGACTGATCGCAAGGGAAGACTAGGGGTCCCAAACCACTGTGTGGCTCATGCTCATACTATTGGAATAGTTTCTAGTTCTCACTACAAGCCCTTTAAATTTTGTACCAAACACTTTGCAAGGACATTGTTTTGGTTTCTCCTCCATCCCCAGAGAAACTTGCCTGATAATTATCCTAGAAAATTGGACACCCTAACCAGGCACAGTAAAGGAGGAAAGATCCTTGAAGAGAGGGAGAAGGTCCGAGGAAGGCAGTAGACTTGATTTATTCTCTAATCATTTCCTTGTAATTCTATGGCAGGTCATTTTTTTCACCAATAAAATTGTTAAGTAAAAGAGTTTTTCCTAGGAGATTTAGAGAGTTCACAGTGCAGAGATGCACATAAAATTGCTTTGTAAACCAATGTGCTACTTACATGTGTGGAATGTTTTGGACTTAATAATATTTTCAGCCCAATTCCTGCATTTATTTTTGAGGTTCTGATGTAGCCTTTACTTAGAAGAGGTTCACAGCAACCGCCGGGAGTTATCTTTGTAGGCAGTAAAGATTTTTATTACTTATTTCCTGTGTTCCTCTTGAATACATGGCACTGAGAGAGACCTAAAATTTAAACTGTGCTGTAAATTGAAATATGTAAGTATAGTTAGCTTTCTATGTCCTCAGATTCAACTAACCTCAGAAGAAAACTATTAAGAAAAAAATCCTGCATCTATACTGAACATGTACAAACTATTTTTCTTGTCATTATTCCCTAAACAATAAAGTATAACAACTATTTATATCATATTAGGTATTTTAAGTCATCTAGAGATGATTTAAAGTATATGGGAGGATTTGCATAGGTCCTGTGCAAATGCTGTACCATTATATATAAGGCACTTGAACTCTGCAGATTTTTATAACCTTGGGGCCTAAAACCAATCCCTCTTGGGTACCAAGGGATGAGTGTATATCCACTGAAGTAAATGTAAGTGAATTGACTATTGACTATTTGATAAGACAACTGATCTAACAAGACATTGAAAGCACAACTTAAAATAAGCAAATAGATTTTTTTTTTTTTTTGTACCAGGGATTGAACTCAAGGGCACTTTGACTACTGAGCCACATCCCCAGCCCTATTTTGCATTTTATTTAGAGACAGGGTCTCACTGAGTTGCTTAGTGCCTCAGCATTGTTGAGGCTGGCTTTGAACTCACGATCCTCTAGCCTCAGCCTCCTGAGCTGCTGGGATTATAGGCATGTGCCACCATGCCTGGCTAGATTAGAATTTTTATCAGAACAAAAAGACAGTTTACAACCCCCCACTAAAAAGACTCTTCTACCCATCAGCTATGTTTTCTATTTAAAAAATAAGGGGTGGAATTAATCTAAGGTTCTAATATTCTGTGACTTCATAAAAACTCAAATAAAAAGCATTTTTATTTTTAATAATGGTTTCCTCTTTAGATGGCCAAGTTATTGTGACTGAAGGTGTTTCAGAAAATAGGAAGCAGTGGCAGCAGGAAGCACCAGGGACTTTAATGGATGCTTTGGCAGCAGCACCTCTTACAAGCAGCTCATTTTCTGCCAGTGAAGGAGAGCCTGGTATGCGCTTAATTTTTAACTACATAACAGTTCCCTGAGAAATTTTGTCAAAGATTTGTAGGTGCAGAAAGTGGATAACGATTCCTTCAACCTGGAGAGGAGATTGAGAGGAGATCCATCCTTTTCAGGAGCCAATTTGTTTTGTCTAAGCGAATCCCAAATGCTATTAACAAATGACATGAACTTCCAAGGACAGGGGCATCAGTTTCTTTTTCTTTTTTTTTTTTTTTTAAAGAGAGGGGGGGAGGGGGGGGGGGGAGAGAGAGAGAATTTTTTAATATTTATTTATTTTTTTTAGCTTTTGGCGGACACAACATCTTTGTTTGTATGTGGTGCTGAGGATCGAACCCGGGCCACACGCATGCCAGGCGAGCGTGCTACCACTTGAGCCACATCCCCAGCCCGTATCATTTTCTTTAACATAACCAGCTGACAGCTGATGCCAAGTGCCAGCAGCTCTGAAGCTGATGATCTAGTATTGCTTAGCTTTACCTGAGAGAGACAGTTTATGTCTGACTGTTTTGCAGGTGGACTCATGACTATCCTTTGGCAATAAAATTCTTCTGGATGTAGTTTGTTTTGTTTTGTCTTCAATTTTTAGCAAGATTTTGCTCTTTTTTTTTTTTTTTTTATCTGGAGTCTTACATGGTGCCCAGACTGGCTTCAAACTTCTGGGTTTATATGATCTTCCTGCTTAAAAGACTTATTATTTAATTGCTTTTTAGATTTATTACTAAGCCATTTCTTCTCCATCAATACATAAATATCATTACCTATACTTTATCCTTTGACTGTTTTATGATTTTTATACTATGATGGTATAAATTCCTTTCGTAAAATTTTAGAGGTACTGGGGTTGTGGGTCAGTGGTAGAGCACTTGCTTAGCACATGTGAGGCACTAAGCTTGATTCTCAGTACCACATAAAATAAATAAGTAAATAAAGGCACTGTGTCCATCTATAACTAAAAAAAATTAAAAAAAATTTTTAAAGGATATTGAGTGTGAATGAAAGAGAAATAGTAGTTCATTTCTGTCAGTGAAGGAGAGCCTAGTATGCACTTAATTTTTAACTACATACATTTACTTTTATAATACCATAAAAGTTATTTTTCATGGGTTTTACTCCTTGCAAGATAATCTTGTTGGTGTGGGGGATCAAACGCAGGACCTTGCAAATGCTGAGACACACTGAGACACACCGATGAGCTTACCTTTAGCCTGTTTGCAGTATATTGGCAGGCAGCACTGAATAATTGTTACGAGTGGACACTGTACTTAGACAGAATGGGAATAACTTCTGGCTCTCCTGCTGCCAATATGATAACCAGTCTTATCTTCCATTTCCTTATTTGTAAAATCAGAGTTATGGAAATGTCAACTTCAATGGATTGTTTTAAATATTAAATGAGATAATGCATGTAAAATGTCTAGAAAGTTACCTAAATGTAATAAATTATAGCTTTTTTAAAAAAAATTTATTTAGAGACAGGGTCTCTCTGAGTTGCTTACGGACTCATGAAATTGCTGAGGTTGGCTTTGAACTCGCAATCCTCCTGCCTCACCTCCTGAGCTGCTGGGATTACAGCTAAATTATAGATTTTAAAATAGTGGTTTTACGGGCTGGGGATGCAGTTCAGTGGGAGAGTGCTTGTCTAGCATATGCAAGGCCCTGGGTTCAGTCCTCAGTACTGCAAAAATAAATAAACAAAAAATAAAACAAAATAGAGATTTTATTCAGCCATAAAAAAATGAAATTATGTAATTTTCAGGAAAATGAATGGAACTTGAGAACATTATGTTAAGCAAATCAAGCCAAACTCAGAAAATCAAGGGTCGTGTGTTTTCTTTCATATATGAAAGCTAGAGAGAAAAAAGGGGGAAAAGGTGTGTGTGGGAGATCTTATGAAAACCAAAGGGATTTCAGATAGGGGGGACGACATTTGTGTTCCCTGCCATAATCTGCTCTTAAGGTATAAAAGGGAATTTCAGAGTCTCCTCCTGTACCTGGATGGGCAAGTTTTTCCTGTAAGTCAAACGAGTAGCATCCCCCCAACCCAAAACCAAAGCAAATTACCATATTGAAGAGGTCTGATTCTCTTAGCCCCAATGATATTACACCCAAAGTAGGAGAGCTGGATCATGTGGTAGTTCTATTTTTAGGCTTTTGACTGTTTCCCATAGCAGCTGCATCATTTTACAATGCCACCAACAGTGCACAAAAGTTCCAATATTTCCACATCCTCACAGACACATGTTCATTTCTGCTTTTTAATGGGGTCATCCAAATGGAGATGAGGTAATATTTCACTGTGGTTTTGATTTTAATTTCCCTGATGATAAATGATATGGAACATCTTTCCATATACTTGTCATGGTAGGGGACAGAGAGATCTACACAGCCCCTTAGCTCTTCTTTTTTCTCTCTCTTTTTTTGGGACAGGGTCTCACTAAGTTGTCAAGCTGGTCTTGAGCTTGTGATCCTTCTGCCCAGTCCCCTGAGTAACTGGGATGACAGGTGTGTGCCACTGCGCCTGGCTCTTATTCTGTTTAAATGGAGATGATTAAAGGTTCATGGTTCAATATACAACTGTAGGATTTTTGTTGTATATTGCTCATCAAGTGTATAGGCTGAGCTGCTTTAATTTTGCTGTCATTTCGTTAACAGTAGGAACATTAAAACAATGGCTTCCTAAAGAAGAAGAGGGGAAGGTGGGAATGTCCTCTGGCATTGAAGGAGATGAGGAACAACTGGAACCAGGCTCTGATGATGATACGTAAGTGATACGTGATACAACCATGGATTTGACTTCACTCGGGTTTGGAGTTTGAATCACAATGCTTGGATGGTTGGGAGACATTTACATTGAGAGACTAAAATTGGGGCTGGAAATATAGCTCAGTGGTAAAATGCCTGTCTAGCATGAGTGAGGTTCTGAGTTCAATCCTTAGTAGGAAAAAAAAATCTTGAGAAACTAACATTAAAACTGACATTAAGGAATAGTAATACTCCTGGTATCTCTAAAAGAAATAAATATAAAACACTCTAGAGCTGGGTACAGTACAGGCCAGGTACTCAGAAAGCTGAGGCAGGAGGATTGCAAGTTTGAGACTAGCTTGAGCAATTTAGCCAAACCCTGTCTCAAAATAAAAAACAAAAAGGACTGGGGATGTAGCTTAGCAGTAGAGTACTTACCTAGAATGTGTGAGGCCCTGAGCTCAGTCCCTGGTACAACAAAAACCACTCTGGCGTTATAAACATTGTATTTTTTTTTTCCACCAAAGCTCTGCTGAAGATGAACTCACAATTTAAAATTTAAAAATAGAATCTAGCACAGTTGCACAGGCCTGTAGCCCCAGCTACTTGGGAGGCTGAGGTGGGAAGATTCCTTGAGCCCAGCAGTTCAAGGCCAGCCTGGGGGCGGTATCACAAAACCCTTTCTCAACCAACAAAGCAGAAACTTGGAATCTGCTAGAGAAAATAGTAACACAAGTTGATTAAGACCATAAAAAATTCAGATAATATAATTATCCTATGAAGATTTTAATACTAAATATTTAAAATTATTCAATTAAAATAATTAGGAGGCTGGAGATGTAGCTCAGTGGTAGAGTGCCTGCTTAGCATGCACAAGAACCTGGGATTCAATCCCCTGCACCACCACTACCAACAACAAAAGAAACAAGAGAAAAAAAATAATCCCTCAATGAAGAACAGGAAAATTGCCTTGTCTGGACTGCTATAACAAAATACCCGGGACCAGGTAACTTACAAATAACAGATACTTCCTGTTCTAGGTGTCAGTAAATCCAAGATGAGGCATTCAACAGATTCGATATCTGGTCGGGGCTGGCTTTGGGGATCATAGATAACACCTTTTAGTTGTGCCCTCACATGGTGGAGGGCAAACGAGTTGCCCCAGGCTTCTTTTATAAAAGCATTAATCCCATTCATTGGGGTTTTACCTTCATGACCTCATCACTTCTTAAAGGCCCTATCTCTTAAAACTATCACATTGGAGGTTTGGGTTTTGAATTTTAGGGGGATGCAAACATTCAAACCACAGGAAAAATTTTGATAATTAACTAACTAGAACTTCTGGAAATTGAAAAAATTCTATAGGTAGAAATTAAAATTTAAGCCCCAGGGGCTGGGAAGTTATAGCTCTGTGATAGAGTGCTTGCCTAGCAATCTGAAGACCCTAGGTTCCATCCCCAGCACCATAAAAAGACAAAAAACCAAAATTCAACAAATAAACAAATACCTGAATAGATATAGTTAATGAAGGAATTAGTAAATGGAAGACAGGTCTGAGGAAAAAAGTTTTCTACAGCAATAAGATATAAAACTATTAGATCTCTAAAAGAACCAAATAATCTTGAATCATATATATAGGAAAAATCAATACTTTTAAAGAGAAGAAGAAAAATATCAATAGGACAAACAGTTGAGTCACCACAAAAGAAAGGAATGGTTATTTTTCTCTCTTAAGAAATAAAGAGCCTCACCACCATTTGACCCAGTTATCCAACTCCTTGATATATACCCAAAGGACTTAAAATCAGCTGGTAAATTGATGGAACTGGAGAATATCATACTAAGTGAAATAAGCCAATTCCACAAATCCAAAACTGAATGTTCTCTCTGATACTTGGATGTTAACACACAATAAGGGGCGGGGGAGGGAAATATAGAAGTTCACTAGATTAGACAAAGGCGAATGAAGAGAATGGATGGGAAGAGGAACAACAGAATGAATCGGACATAACTTTCCTGTGTTCATATATGAATATACAACCAGTGTAACTCCACATCATGTTCAACCACAAGAATGGGATCCTATTTAGAATAAGTTAAACTCCACGAGTACGTCAAAATACACTTTACATCATGTATACCGAAAAAGAACAAACAGAAAAATAAAAAAGAAATATAGAGCCTGCATTAGAAGACTTACATCTGATGATACACACCATGTCTGAGGTGGAAGAACCAAACTCAACTCAGAGAAGTTGCAACCAAAATAAACAACAAAGGATAGGTCCAGAAAATGAAAAGAATACACACAAAGAAGTCACCCTGTGGAAAGCCACGCAAAGTCCACAAACGATCACTGAAGGAGAGCCCAGGGCAAGACATACAGCTAGACAGTTCTCATCAGCAACTGGGGAATTCACATCAAAACACCCAGACATGGCGAGAGTGACCACACAAAGTGCTGCGAGGTGCTGGGGAAGACTGGCTTTTCCTGGGGGTGGGTGCAGGACATGAATTGGAAACTGAACACTCACGATTCCACATTATCCATTCTCCAGCTCCTCACACCATGTGCCCAAGGAGATACACAGGAGGACATGAGTTGCCAGATGAAAGGGAGACCTCAATGTCCCTCCGAATGGGAACGGAGTGTGTAGTTGTATTAGCTGGTGATCCAGGCTTCCCTTGAAGCCAAGAGGCTCATTTCTCTATCACACAACAGCATCCTCATGTGCAAGGACAGCCGGGTTCTGCAGCAAGGCTCAGTCTAGTGATCATCCCTCTACAGAGTCCTTCTTCTGTCCCTCACATCACTGCCATCTGTGGAGCCCAGCGAGGCAGCTATAGGAGCAGCTGTAGGTCAAGGTGTGGACAGAACAAGAGGTTGACAATGGCATGAGATGGACTTGATCCAATGCTGCTTATGTCCAGTAGGGTCAGGTTTGAGTGGGAATAGATGGCAGGCTCTGCTGCAGTAGTCCATTCAGAGATGGAGTAACTGTCAGTTAAAGGGAATGAGCTGGATCTGCAGGCATCAGTTGAGATGAACCTCCATGATGGAGTGAGCGGAGCTCAGCGGAAAAACAAAGGCAAAGAGCACACTGCGTAGTAGTCCAGCACACATGTGATGCATTGTCAACATGCAAGTTTATAACAAAATACAACTTATAATTTTATGAAAAATGATGAAAAATGTGAAAGAAGTTAAGAGTCATGAAGGTCCAATACATGTGTAAAAGGAGTTTCCAAAGAAGGGAGTGGGGAAAAAACAATATTTAAAGCAATGACAGCTGTGAACTTTTTTATATATATATTTTGAAAATATCTGTAAATTTATTTAAATTAGATTTTCATTTTACATTTTAAGAAATTTTAAAAATCTGGGAGAATACAAAGGACAGTATAACAAAACACTCTCATTCTCCTGATATAAAAATAACAATTAAAAAAATCATATCAGTTTTTTTTTCCAAGGGCTAAAACATTATTTTTTATTTTTATTGGTTGTTCAAAACATTACAAAGCTCATGACATATCATCTTTCATACATTTGATTCAAGTGGGTTATGAACTCCCATTTTTACCCTAAATACAAATTGCAGAATCACATCAGTTACACATTCACATTTTTACATAATGCCATATTTGTGACTGTTGTATTCTGCTGCCTTTCCTATCCCCTACTATCCCCCCTCCCCTCCCCTCCCCTCCCATCTTCCCTCTCTACCTCATCTGTTGTTGTTCAATTCTCGCCCTTGTTTTCCCCCCCTTTTCCCCTCACAACCTCTTATATGTGATTTCGTATAACATTGAGGGTTTCCTTCAGTTTCCATGCAATTTCCCTTCTCTCTCCCTTTCCCTCCCACCACTCGTCTCTGTTTAATGTTAATCTTTTCCTCATGCTCTTCCTCCCTGCTCAGTTCTTAGTTGCTCTCCTTAAATCAAAGAAGACATTTGGCATTTGTTTTTAAGGATTGGATAGCTTCACTTAACATAATCTGCTCTAATGCCATCCATTTCCCTGCAAATTCCATGATTTTGTCATTTTTTACTGCTGCGTAATACTCCATTGTGTATAAATGCCACATTTGTTTTATCCATTCATCTATTGAAGGGCATCTAGGTTGGTTCCACAGTCTAGCTATTGTGAATTGTGCTGCTATGATCATTGATGTGGCAGTATCCCTATAGTACGCTCTTTTAAGGTCCTCAGGGAATAGTCCGAGAAGGGCGATAGCTGGATCAAATGGTGGTTCCATTCCCAGCTTTCCCAGGAATCTCCATACTGTTTTCCATATTGGCCGCACCAATTTTCAGTCCCACCAGCAATGTACAAGTGTACCCTTTTCCCCACATCATCGCCAGCACTTATTGTTGTTTGACTTCATAATGGCTGCCAATCTTACTGGAGTGAGATGGTATCTTGGGTGGTTTTGATTTGCATTTCTCTGACTGCTAGAGATGGTGAGCATTTTTTCATGTACTTATTGATTGATTGTATGTCCTCCTCTGAGAAGTGTCTGTTCAGGTCCTTGGCCCATTTGTTGATTGGGTTATTTGTTATCTTATTGTTTAATTTTTTGAGTTCTTTGTATATTCTGGAAATTAGGGCTCTATCTAAAGTGTGAGGAGTAAAGATTTGTTCCCAGGATGTAGGCTCCCTATTTACTTCTCTTATTGTTTCTCTTGCTGAGAAAAAACTTTTTAGTTTAAGTAAGTCCCATTTGTTTATTCTTGTTATTAACTCTTGGGCTATGGGCATCCTATTAAGGAATTTGGAGCCCGACCCCACAATATGTAAATCGGAGCCAACTTTTTCTTCTATCAGGCGCAGAGTCTCTGATTTGATATCAAGCTCTTTGATCCATTTTGAGTTAACTTTTGTGCATGGCGAGAGAAAGGGGTTCAGCTTCATTTTGTTGCATATGGATTTCCAGTTTTCCCAGCACCATTTGTTGAAGATGCTATCCTTCCTCCATTGCATGCCTTTAGCCCCTTTATCAAATATAAGAAAGTTGT